TGAAGTTGAGTCCGGCGAAATGAGGAGACGCGGTGATGTTGTCCCCGAAGACAGGTCCGTCTGCCGGAATAAAATTGACGACACCCGGCGGGACACCGGCTTCTCTGCAGATTTGGAATATGACCCAATTCGATAGCACGGCTGTGTCGCTCGGCTTCCACAGAACAGCATTTCCCTGAATTGAATGAATAGAATTATACTTTCAATAGTTATAAGTGGTTAATATGTAAGTAGTAAATACACTTCCCAAAAAATTAACGCACCACCAAAGAGTATCCAAAAGTTTGAGATACATTTTCGCCGAAACTACTTTTCTGATTTGGATGATTCTTGTTTTGAATGACAGGTTATCTCCTTCTGATTATTGGATTTTACTTTTTTTAAGTTCTGGTTCCCACGAAAAGGGTTATCCTGTAATGTTCAGAGAACATCGTGAGAACCAAGGGAAATAAGGTAGCAATTGGTGTTCTTCTTCAATTTCTGGAGGCTATATGCCTCTGGAAACACCTCCCTTGGCAATGTGTTCCAGAGCCTCGCTGTTCGTTGGATGAACGAGCCTTTGGAAAGAGATGTTCTGCAGGTCTCCAAAGTGGCCATGAAGGGGTGCGAAGCATCAACTCGACGGGTTAATCTCGCGGGGACTGCCAAGGGAGAAACAATTTTCAGAAGAGAAAGAGAAATAGAGCCAGATCGCCAACTTTTCTACGGTGGTCCAGAGAAGTAAGTGAGTTTATGAGCGAGGCATCACTCACGAGACGAATTTCCCTTTTTTGTACAGAATTCAACAGTTTCAGGGTTTTTTTGGGTGCTGCACTCCAAATATGGGAACAGTATTCCAGGACAGGTCGGATCTGTGCCTTATAGATCATAAGCAGCTGACTGGAAGTGAAATAGCTCCCGGCCCGAAACAGAAATCCAAGTTTTTGGGATGCACTTTTGGCAATTGATCTCACGTGATTTTCCCAAGAAAGGTTATTGCTGATAGTGATACCAAGCATCGAAATGAATTTCTTCAAAGGTATGGTTACTCCTGACAGGCTTATGTTGTGCACAGTGAGATTGTCTTTTCTAGATAAAAGGCATGCTTGTGTTGTGTTTGCATTGAAATCTACCAAGTTATTGGATCCCCCATTCGAATATTGTTGCCAAGTCCATATTTATGTTGTCAACATTTCTTCCTCGTTCATTTCTGATTTGCCTGGCTGGTATTGGAGCCCTGGAAGAGAAGGCGCTATGGAGGCGGTATGGAGGGTACTATCATCCGCGAAGATGTGTACTGGACATGAAGTTGCGTCCAACAAATCGTTGATATGGAGTAGAAATAGTGTTGGGGCTAGGATTGATCCTTGCGGAACACCAGCATTTATGATAAGAGAGTCAGATGATACTCCGCCGACCACTACATGGAGACCTGTTTGAGAGAAAACTAGCTAGCAGAGAACATAGCTGGGGAGGCAAACCATAAGATGGAAGCTTGTCGAAGAGTCAGTGGTGTCAGACTCGATCGAATGCCTAGGAGATATCAAGTGCCACGGCTAAGGTTTCACCTCTTTTTTATTAATTTCGGATGTAGAAATTACAGCGTGTTTTTTTTCATGAAATTTGTAATATCCTGTAGAGTGTAACAGTTACGTTATCGAGTTTATATTGAAAGCACACTTTAGCCTTATCTTTTTTCAGCATTCCTTTTTTGGAATTATCGTATTCCTCAAGAAACACAATTTAATAGCATAACATTATTTCTTTGAATTCAATTGGCATCAAAAGCACCAAAGTAGCAGGCTATAATTATGGTCTAGGAAGGCATTTCTTTGACCGGTCGCATAGAACTTGTGATCATAAAGGAAGCCTAACAGCTGAAAGGTATGTACATATTCAAGATTTGAGAACCACATAGTGCGAGAATTTTTGTTGATGCAAGATAATGCCTGGACTCATGTCGCCCGAGTTGTGAAAAATTATCTAAAGGAAGTCTGTATCGCTACCATTCCATGGCCAGCTCGCAGCCCGGATATAAAGCCCATTGAGAATCTCTGGGAACAGAACGTAACTTGAATATTTTGGAAAACGTACGGCAGACTGAATTCAAATTTGGGAAGACCTGGACCAATATGACATTAGGTCTCTTATTGATTGAAATAAGTATAACGGACAGAGAGGCATGGAAGGAAGGACCTCCTATCAATGCAGACATTGCTGTCTATACGGACGGCTCCAAAACTGAGGAAGGATCAGGAGCTGGTATTTATGGGGCCAAGCCAAAGACAAGAATTTCACTGAGCTTAGGCAAATACGCGACGGTGTTTCAGGCAGAAATTATTGCAATACATCATTGCGTGAAAGAATTGATAAGGCAAGAGTTTAAAGGCAAAACCATTGCAATCTATTCAGATAGCCAGGCGGCAATCAAAGCAGTCCACTCTATGCAAGTTAACTCAAAACTAGTCTGGGACTGCTTAGAAACCCTAAATGCACTGGGCAGTCAGAACAGATTGACTCTAGCATGGGTACCAGCACATACAGGGTACGAGGGCAATGAAGAGGCAGACTCACTTGCCCGAGCAGGAGCAAACGAAGCACTTAATGGCCCAGAACCCTTTTGTGGTATTGCGAAAGCTATACAAAAGACTAGTTAGTATCAAATCATGGATGCAAACCAAATCTCAAGAATGGTGGAACAACTCGCCAGGAATGAGGCAGGCAAAAGAGTTTATTAAAAAACCATCGCCAACATTCACAGAATATCTACTAAGCCAGAAACGAAGTTCAACTAGAATACTACAGGGCATTGTAGGCTCAGCAAACACATGAGTACGATAGGTATGACTGAAGAACTGCTGTGCAGGTTCTGTCAAGAAGAGGAAGAAACAGCAGTTTACATAATTTGCCACTGTGAGGGCTTGTCAAGACTAAGGTTCCTTACGCTGGGTGAGGAAAAACCAGGAGCCCAGAGATACACAGGAGATCTGAAAGCGAGCCTATGGAGTCTCATAGAGAAGGCGGGGCTAGCCGAAGAACTCTAATCGATTTTGAGGGCAGACGCAATAGATCTTAAAAGGAGGTCGCAATGTGGAGGCAGATAGCTTGAAGGCCCCATTCCAAATCTAATAAAATCTAATCTATTTATTCGTGCACGCGGCGGAAATACTGGCTACTGACCCTTTCTCTCAAGTTGTGACGAAATATTCGTCGGAAATACTGATGCACTGTCACTAACTCAAATCAGGATGAATCGTGGCACGTTTGGATATTCGCGAAGGGGACATTATCTCCCGTTTAATAACAGCTGGTCTGTATTTTATATTTGATCACACTTATGTGACTTTATGGTGGTCACTTTGGAGACCTGCAAATCATCTCTTTCCAAAGACTCGTTCATCCAACGAACAGCGAGGCTCTGAAACACGTTGCCAAGGGAGGTGTTCCCCAAGGCATATAACCTCCAATAATTCAACAAGAACACCAATTCCTACCTTATTTTCCTTGGTTCTCACGATGTTCTCCAAACATTACAGGTTATCTTTTTCGTGGGAACCAGAACATAAAAAAAGATGGATGAGGGTTACTTAGCTGTGTGCATTGTGGATATACAAATGATTGTACATAATATCGTATTTCGTGCAATATTATTCATTAAAATTTGTTTTAGTAGAGCCCATATTTTGACTATACAGTCATTATCAGTGCATACCTGTTAGTATAAGTTTTCAGCTTAAGCAGCAGCAGATATTAAGAGAACATTATTGGAAAAATTTAAAAAATTGTTTGAACTTGGAAATTAGTTGAAGTTGATCAATTCTTAGCATTTGAAAAAAGACATCAGAAAAAAATTAAAATGTTGAATTTAAATTTGAAAATTCGTTTTAGTGGGGTTATTTACTCGATAGTTAGACACGGAAATTATCCATAAAAATATCTTTGTTCCTGTTCAGTATTGTCAACATTATGGCTAATTACGGTACGAACAGATAGAAATTTTTTTCCCAACATTATGGCTAATTACGGTACAAACATATTGAATTTTTTTTCCCAAAATGCAGATTAGGTACATTATCTTGAACTGCTAAAATGGTTGCGTCATACTGTCGTGTTGAAGTGAACTTGAGAAGTGACAGAATTGACAGAAAGTACTAGAATGATGGAAGCAACTTTTGAAGTTGACATGACATGTCAGAGAAATTGTCAAAAAATTATTGTTGGAAAACAATTCATGAATAGACAACAAAATTCCCAAGGAGCAATAATTGTACTGGTCTAATGAGAACCTAGCCAACAAGTCACTCAGTAATCTGGATGATCAAAAATGCAACGAGCCAACAAGCATACTAAAGAATGAATTACCCTCAAAGATGAGAGCTTTATTTTTACACAGAGTTCTTGGAAATATGCAATTACCTAAAACATTCTCTTTGATTTCACTTTCGTCTACCTTTCGCATACTTTTTCAATGAAGAATTCTGATACAAACAGAAATTGTTTGAATAATTCTGATTCGAAAATGACAGTTGACAGTTCCTAAAATAGACAAGCCGGACAGGACAGACAGGACTCAAACGACTGAGGGTGTGTTTAAAAAACTCTGTTGCCATGGTTATAGAATAATAAAAAGTAAACAATTTGATTCATCCTTTTCCCCATCCCCACCATTCGGGATTTCATTCTTTTATCCGTATTTGACGTTTACGATTTATGAATCGCGGTGTCTGTCTATTGTTTTATTCAGTGTGAGGTTCTGACCATGAAAGCCAAATTGCCCCTATGGCCGTGAAATTGAAGCGGGACACTGCGGAGATGAAGCGGTACCGCATTTTCTTCATCACTTTCGGATCCTCGGAGATCGGCTGGTATTGGCTCTTAAATTATTAGTGCACATATACCGGGTGAATAACTAAGAACGGCTGTCATCAATCCTTTTTCCAACTTTGATCGTCAATATCTTCCGTTAGCGAAAAGCTATCATGTTAGAGATTTCGTTGGTCTGTTGAGATTTTGTTTCTCTATTCGATCGTGTAATAATATTCATACTTTACCTTTTTAATTGACGATATCTATTGGTACTCCAGATCATACCGACAACCGTTCTTCGTTGTACACCTGGTACACACTTATACATAGAAATCCCAATTCACTAGATATATTGAATATATCTATAAAGAGTATAGAATATCAATCTTCTGGCAATGATTCTGCATAGGTATCTCCACCATTCGCGATCACATTTCATTAACCCGTATCTGGCGTTTAGGGCTATTGGCGTATACCTTTTTATGATTCATGAAAATGTACAAGTGTCAAGCGAATACTTTTTAATGATTCATAAATGAATCGCGGTTTCTATCTATTGATATTTCGTGTGTGCTTACCATTAGAGCCGGCGTGTACGCCAAATTGCCCCCGATTGCCGTGAAATTGAAGGGAGACACTGCGGCGATGAAGCCGTCGATGCCGCGGTACCGCATCGAGTTCTTCGTCACTTTCGGGTCCTCGGAGATCGGCTGGTACTTGCTCGCCTCCTTCAGGAAATAGGCGTTCAGTCTGCAAGGAGAACGGGGGTGAGTGGGATCATATTGATCATAAACTTTCAATTTTCAATTAGGACACACTGGATATTTTGATAATTTTATCAGAAAAGTTTCTAATGTGTGTAAAACCTGAGTCCAAACATCCTGTTTGAAAAACGATAGTTGAAGTTGCTTCTGGTTGAAACGGAAGTGATAAAACGAATATTTTTAGTCAATATGAATGAAATCAACAAAAATGCAGCCCCTGGGCACGATAAGATATCAATTAAAGAACTATTGTTGATTATTGAATGGCTCTCACCAGTCCTGGTCACGCTAATCAATGATATATTTGAAAAAGGAATTTATCCTGACATATTAAAAAAAGGAAAGGTCATTCCTATTCACAAATCAGGTTCAAAATCCAAACTAGAGAATTATCGCCC